GTATGGGTTATGTTTAGGCTACAGGTTAGTGTACGGGTTAGGATTAGGGTATGGGTTAGGGTTAAGGTATGGGTTAGGGTATGGGTTGGGGTACGGGTTAGGCTACGGGTTAAGGGTTAGGGGTTAGGGTACAAGTTAGGGGTTAGGGTATGGGTTAAGCTACGGGTTAGGGTAAGGGTTAGGGTAAGGGTTAGGGTTAGGGTATGGTTTAGGGTATGGGTTAGGGTACGGGTTAGGATACGGGTTAGGGTACGGGTTAGAATAAGGGTACGGGTTAGGGTTAGGGTACAGGTTAGGATACGGGTTAGGGTTAGGGGTTAGGGTTAGGGTTAGGGTACAGGTTACGGTTAGGGTCAGGGTACCGGTTAGGGTACGGGTTAGGGTTAGGGTACGGGCCAGGGTTAGGGTACGGGTTAGGTTTAGGGTATGGGTTAGGGGTTAGGGTATGAGTTAATGTTAGGGTACGGGTTAGGGTACGGCTTAGGGTTAGTGTACGGGTTAGGGTTAGGGTTTAGGGTTAGGGTTAGGGGTTAGGGTTACAGTTAGGTTACGGGTTAGGGTACGGGTTAGGGTACGGGTTAGGGTACAGGTGTTCTGGGTTCTGCTGACACTGTTCACAGTGTCCACAGGAGAAGGGTGGCCCATGTGAGTGCTCACTGACTCACTGTAGCAGATCACGCTAGAGCATACGGGCAGCTTGGGCAGGGAGTCTCTAACTCTGCATCCGTTTGTGTTCTAGTCTTCCAGCAAATTCACCACAGGCTCTTTCACCCACCAGGTAAGACATGGCTCTGCCCTCTAGGAGTGGGCAACCTGGAAAGTGGACGAGATTAAGACAAAGTACACAGCATAGTGATCTCCTGAAAATCGTTTTTGAGTGGCTGAAGGCCAGAGGGAGGATGGGTCTATTTGGTGTCTCCCTGTGATACCCTTCTGGCCTCAGTTAAGGGTAGACAGAGGGATGTATGTATTCAGTGCCACACTGGATGACTGGGGAATTCCTTTGCGGCTGGGAGGACCACTGCTCAGAATGTAGGATCAATGTTGCGCCAGGAGCCCAGGGCTTCCTAAAGGCAGGTGAAGCTGGGTATGACTGGTGAGCTGGGCATGAGCAGGTTAGAGCCAGGAGTAAGCAGGGCAGGGCGGAACTCCTGGGCCTCCACCTGTCCTGGGGTCAGGACCTCCGGTCCCTGGAGACCTCCCCTTGATGGCCCTCCAACAGCCCTGAGAACAAGCTCTATAGGGAAGATAGTCTACCTCAGGAGACTGCGGTCCTGGGGAGTGGGCTGGGGCCCACTGTGTTGAGCATCCCCTTCCTCTTGCCATCTCTGGGCTCAGATATGCAAGCCTCACCTGTGCTACAGGTCTTGACTTTCCCATGGCTCTTTCCTCAGGGGTCCCCCTGACACTTGGTGTTGGCCCTTGGTGCAGGGTCCTGAAACACTCTGTGGACGCCACCTATGAGGAGCAGGGCCCAAACCCTGGGTACCACATGGAGCTATCCATCTTCTACGTGGTCTACTTCGTGGTCTTCCCCTTTTTCTTCGTCAACATCTTTGAGGCCTTGATCATCATCAACTTCCAGGAGCAGGGGGACAAGGTGATTTCTGAATGCAGCCTGGAGAAGAACGAGGTGGGTGGCTCCCTCTTCTGCCCCATGTGTACGTGTGCATTGGATGCTGTGCTGGGCTCCCCTGATGGGCAGCATGGGCAGAACCACTAGACTTCCCTTCTACATGGGACTCGCTAATCACCGCATAGCTGGTGGCCAGCACAGGGGCAGGGAGAGACTGAGTGTGGCCAGTAGGGCTGCCTGCGAGGATGGAAGAGACAAGTATGGGGTGCAGTGGGCGCTGCAGTGTGGGGTCCCCCCCCACCCCATATGTTCTCAGTGCTCCTTTGTCCCCGGGCAGAGGGCTTGCATCGACTTCGCCATCAGCGCCAAGCCCCTGACGTGGTACATGCCCCAGGACAAGCAGTCATTCCAGTACAAGGCATTGACATTTGTGGTCTCGCCTCCCTTCAAGTACTTCATCATAGCCATGATCGCCCTCAACACAGTGGTGCTAATGATGAAGGTATGTTGGCCCAGCACGGGGGACAGTGGGTGCCAGCTGGGGTGTGACAGAGAGAGAGAGCCATAGTTGCAGCTGATCACGTCCTGGTCAGCATGGGATGCCTATAGAAGCCCAGTGCCCTGGGTTCTCTGTGGACTGAGATGGTGAGAGTGTCCTGGGAGAAAACGAGGAGACCAGGGACGGGTATCCCTACCCTGGGCAGGCATGCAGTTCTCTCTGCTCTGGCAGGAGGTCAAGGCTGGGGTGTCTTGGGGCAGCCGAACCTGTAGCCAATGGCACTTATTCCCTGTGCAGTTCTATGACGCACCATATGAATATGCGGTAATGTTGAAAGGCCTGAACGCTGTGTTCACATCCATGTTCTCCATGGAATGCGTGCTGAAGATCATCGCTTTTGGGGTGCTGGTAGGTGCCTTGGCTCCCTCTTGGCCTTTTGGTGGTCTGCATTCTGGCTCCCTCTCTGTAGGGGGGGATCTTCAGGGACTTGTAGCTTAGAGCTGGGAATTCCCCAAGCCCCCAGAGCAAATGTGACATTGCGGGGGCTCCTGAGGAAGGGGCTGCTCCAATTCCCTGAGCTGCCTGAGCTCTGCCCCTAGCCCAGTTCCTGGAGACAGGCGGGGCCAGGCTCCTCCTCTTTGGACACACAGCTCTCAGTTCTGCACCTGCCCAGACCCACAGGTGTTTGCTTACCCAGCTGTGGTGTCCCCCCTGGGTGGCCCATCGTCCCTTTGCTCCTTTCTTGATTAGGGGTACTTCCTGCAACTCCTTGCCTGGCAGAACCCTTACCAGCCTCTAGCAGTAACTGCTCTTTTTTCTCTCCAGAACTATTTCAGAGATGCCTGGAATGTCTTTGACTTTGTCACTGTGTTGGGAAGTATTACTGATATTTTAGTAACAGAGATTGCGGTAAGTAGCGTTTCCTGTCCTTCCTGCAGGGCCCCAGAATGGTTTCCTTCTAGGCAGTGCTCCTCAGTGCGCCTCCAGGTCCTGAGTGTTAGCCCCTTCTCTCTTGCCAGAGTTCCCCAGGAGCCCCTGGAAAGAAGGAGGCTCCTCTCCAGAGGTGGAGTTGGGGATTGGGTATTGTCTTGGGAAATGCTTTCTCTTGGATAAGAAAGTGGTTTCCAAAAGGTCTTCTAGGCTGGTGGTCTGAGAGTCCCCTGGGAGCTTCATTGTAACAACTGACCAGGAAGACAAGAATCTTTTAAATCTGTGTGTGTCTGACAAATCTAACAACTTGGCACCAAAGTACATGAACTAAAACCAACAAGAATTTAGAATATTTTAGAATATTAGGTTTGTTTTACGTGTGTGTGTGTGTGTGTGTGTAAATAAAATGAGATACTCATTCATATCAAACATACACAGATTATATGTAAAAACTGACCAAGTGCTAAAATATGAAATTGTCTCGACAAATTTCAAGGAATCTGAATCATAAAGCAGTATTCTTTGAGTACAATGCATTATGTCAGAATTAAATGGCAAAAATCTCATCTCAGTCCTAAGGTGACTTCTCCAGGAGCAGACACTTAAGGTGGGGTTCTTGTACGAGTCATTTCTAGGAAGCACTCCCGGGCAAGACCGTGAGAGGGAAGTTTGGGGAAATGGACGGCTAAGAGAAGGGGGATCAGAAATGGATCTGGAGCCACGTGCCGGGGTGCGTCTGGGTCATCCCCGACGGGGGCTTGGAGACAGGGTGGTCACCCCTCAGAGCTGCAGAGCTCATGCCTCTGTACGGACTAGTCCACAGCTAAGGGCTGCACCTGGGGGCTGCAGTTGTCAGATACCTCCAGCCCTTCTGAGTGCACCCCACGTGCAGGCAAAGCAGGCTCTGGCACCCCTGGGGAGGAAGGAATATCAGACTCCTTGGTAACAGGCCCACACTGGAGTGCACGAGTGTCTGCTGTTACCCTGGCCCCACTCAGCTCTGTCCACGTCTCACATTGGGTTCACTTCCCCCCTTCTTCAGGATGATGCTGGTCACGATGTGTGGGAGAAGAGGGTTGGTGAACAGCTAGAGCTAGTCTGAGTTAAGTTGATGTTCATTAACTGATTCTTCCTAAACCCTTTTGGGGTCCCCTGACTGTGGCCAGCCTTCTGCCGCTCTAGTTGCTGGGCGGGATGAGGCAGCCCACACTGTCACCCTATGAGGCCAAGTCCCTGCTTGCCATGCCCTTGTGTGGTTCTGGCTGCCATAGTAGTCCAGTCGTAATTTAGACTGGTCATAGAGCACTAGAAAGGCCCCCGTGAACCCCCTGATTTCCAGATAGACTTCTTCCTAACCTAGGTAATGGTAGCTCTGCCCTTCCCCATTCCCAGCATCCAGTACCCTGGCCAGCCTGAAAACTCTGCTCTGCCTGCTGATCTTACGGCATGAGGAGCACAAGAGACAGGGGCCCACCATGACTTTGGTGTTCCACAGCGGAAGCCTTCCCGACCCCTTGAGCCAGGACCTCTAGATTTGCCAAACCTAAACTTACGGAGATGATGAGAACAAAGTCTGACCTGGGTTGCTGGAGGATAGTGAGAGGGGCCACCCCTCCTTCCACCCCTTGCTTTCTGGATCTGTGCGACAGTTGGACACCCAGTACCATCTCTTGTTTGTCAGTTCATCTGGAAGGACAATATCCCAACCCTGTGAGGTACATCACCAAGCCAGCATTTAATCTGTGTCTTTAAGAGGCTTTTTCAGTGTTTTATGAGGTTTCCACCTCCTGAATGATGTTGAATATTATATGCCAGTGGATCCCGAGTCACCTGCTCCTTTTGTACCTGCTTCTGCTTGCTCAGTTTGGAGTCGATGTTATGTGGAATCCAATATGGGTAAATCCCTGGTACTGGTGTGGGCCAAGGTATTCCATGGGCAAAGACAAACCCACACCCCGAGTATGAGTGATCCCAGTAGAGACAAATCACTGCCATTTCCAGGTGAAAGGATTCTCATGTAAGCAAATTACCACCAAGTGGCTGGCTGACAGCCTAAAGCATGGTGCATTGTAGAGGCCTCGTTGACTTCTGCTCATAGTGGGCTGGGTGTTTAGTAGTGGTCATGGCTGGATCAGCCCACCTGTTGGGCTCAGGCACAGCCTTCATCTCAGTCATCATGGTCACTCCATTCATGGATCTACTATGTGAACACTGGGGCTGGTGAGAATAGTGGCTGGCTGTCATCTGTTGGGTAAACCATCTCAAGGCCTGGTTTTTAGTACCCCTACAGCTGTAGATGCTCTGTGGTGGACACTGATGTGTAATACAAGGACCTGCATGTTGCATCCATTGCCTAGGCCCATCTGGATGCCTTTACCCAAATTTTGTTCCCTCCGGAGCCCTGGCCAAGCTTTAGCTCTTGCCTAAGGTCCTGTAATCCATACCACAGGCAACTTCTTTCTCCATCCGCGCCATGGCTGCTCAGGTTCAACACCTAGAACTCTGCCTCACCACTGTCTTCCAGCTCGTCTCTGTGTGGGGTTCTAGTGACACCAATGTATTGAGCCAACCGCTTCATGTAACAGGCTTGAGTTTTTCCTCCTGGCTTTAGTGATCATCCCATGATATGCTGGGGTAGGAGTGAGCTAAGGAAGACAGGTGCAGCAAAGATGCAAGGCCTGGGGCCCTGGGCCACCTGTCATGAGACTGTGCCCTCTATTTTGAGTGAAGTAGGAAGTGGAGTGACATAATCTGGCTTTTCAGACCAAACCTCTGGCTGAGAATATAGTGCAGGGCACAGGCAGAAGCAGCAAGGCAGGTTAGGGCTTAGTTGGTTTATCCCAGAAACAGACCCCAAGACTGGAGTTCCTTGCAAGTCATTTAGTTGGGAGGTGATCCCTGGAATACTAGGGGAACAAGGAAGTGGGCCAGGGAAGGGGGGCAGCCAAT